CCATTGGGCGCCAGCCTCGAACCCGAGAGTCACTTCAAGACTTCAAGACTTCAAGACCTGGTTTGTTTTAAATAATGCTAGGAGTACGCCCAATTATGGCAAAAAATTGATGTCAAGGTCGCTATGCGTGCTGCTGTTGGAATGTGCAATTATGTATTACCCTTACAAACAGGTTTATCCAGACACTTGTCTACCGCCGTGAATAATCCAGTAAAATTTGATTTTACTATCATTGGAGGAGGAATTGTTGGTCTGGCAACTGCACGGGAACTTCAGTTGCGGTACCCCAAATTTAGATTCGTTTTGTTAGAAAAAGAGAAGGAATTAAGCATACATCAGTCGAAAAACAATAGTGGAGTGATACACACCGGAATATACTATCCCCCCGGTTCATTAAAAGCAAAATTGTGTGTTGAGGGTTTGAAACGTTCATACGAATATTTCAATCAGAATCATGTGCCGTATAAAAAGTGTGGAAAATTAATTGTTGCAACTAATGATATTGATGTCGCGCGGATGGAAAACCTTTTCGAGAGAGCCAAGGCGAACAAAGTTCCAGGAGTAACAATTTTGACACCTCGTGAGATTCGTGAAGTGGAACCTCTTTGTGGAGGCGTCAAGGCCATTTATTCTCCTGAAACTGGCATAGTTGATTGGCGTACAGTGGCACTCGCTTTTTCTGAAGATTTTAGGAATCATGGAGGAGCTATCTTTACCGGGTTTCAAGTGGATGATATAACTGAATCATCATCTGATGTCCAATTCCCTGTAAGCGTTCATACGCGTCACAAAAAGAATCAAAAGTTACCGGACACTATACAAACAAAATATCTCATAACATGTGCAGGATTACAATCCGATCGGATTGCAAGGATGACAGGATGTTCATCTGATCCCAAAATCGTTCCATTTAGAGGCGATTACCTAAAACTGAGAGATGATAAAAGTAATATGGTGAAGACGAACATTTACCCCGTACCCGACCCGCGATTTCCTTTCTTGGGAGTACATTTTACTCCAAGAATGGATGGATCAGTTTGGCTCGGACCAAACGCTATTTTGGCTCTCGATCGTGAAGGATATGGATTATTTGATTTCAGATTGAAGGATGCACTGGACTCATTGTTTTATCCAGGATTTTGGAAACTCGCAACCAGATACACAGCATTCGGAATAAATGAAATCATAAGCAATATTTTTATCAGAAGGCAAGTAAAACAGCTTCAGAGATACGTCCCATCGTTAAAAAGAGAAGATGTGGTCAGAGGACCTTCTGGCATCAGGGCACAGGCACTGAATAGCGCCGGACAACTAGTTGAAGATTTCGTCATCGATGTCGATAAAAAGGGTGTTGGAAAGCATGTCATGCACGTTCGAAACGCACCTTCTCCTGCAGCAACGTCTTCGATGGCTATAGCGTGTCATATAGCCAATGAGGCGCGTGTACATTTTGATCTTCCTGAACCGGCAGTAAGGGGTTACGTTTAATGTTTGGCTAATGATTGTGCATCATAATAATACACACAATATTTTAGACTACTGTAGATTTTTCAATTGTTAGAACTACAGAAGCATTTGTCTGTCCCTGATTGTTCTTTAGTTTGTGAGCAGCATGCTGAATTAAGTGAAATCTGCTAGCCTTTTCAAAAAAAGAACGAGTGACAACTCCTTTCTAGAAGGTATTATTATGTTTGCTTGTGAAAATATGAAAGGTTTTGGGCTCTCATTTTTATTTTATTTTTAACGTTCTCGACCAATGTGTAAATACTAGCTCTTGTCTCTTCTCATCTGTCCAACCCACATTTGTGGTTTGTAAAACAATAAAGCGCATAGCACAAATTCTTCCCCTACTGTGTATGTTCCTCTGATTCGATGTATAGTTTTTAGACAACACTTGCTTTTATTTTTGTGGATTTCTTCAGTCGAAGTGGAAAAGTAAATAAATGACTACTTGCCATCCTTCATTATTTATTCAAACGTACCATACGGTTGTAGTCAATATTCCCAGTGATAGTGTCTTTAGTTGATACATTTTTTCTCTTACAAATGAAAAACCAATGACAATAATAAATGTTAAGTTGTATTACTATACATCTTTACTCCACAATAAAAATGTTGTATATCATACGACAGTAGTAATAATTAAATTTTAGTTTAAACAACCTTTAACTATGAACCTTGATGCGGGTCAGCAGCACTTAGCTGCAAATAGAGAATTCATAAAGATTAAAGTTGCAAGGACATCATGTAGATGCAAGAGCATCGCTCAGCCATATCAGTCGGTGACTCCAACAATAGGTTGTGCCGATCATGAGGTCCCCGTCAAAGGGGCCATAAAGCGATCAATCTAAACAGGTCACCCAATCAAGGTTCTCATAATTTCATACCTGTTCATATTTTGAGGACCATTAATTTTGCGCTGTAGCTACCGCGGCAAAGATTGCACGCTGTAGGCGCTGGCTTTATCGAGATAATACGAAATGTACAATGGTTATATTTTATTAACCCGAAGAGCCGAAAGATGAGATGCGGAAGCGTGAGTGAGCATCCAGAAAGTGACAGCAAACACGCGCTGACCAAATTAGTGGCCTTGGTGCGGTAAAAAATGTGACATAGGAGATGAAAGTTACTTGTATAGTGAGAGGTAGTTAATGTCACCACACGCTGTGGCTACCTGTGTGGTGATTTATAATATGACCAAAGCAAATTACTCTTTAGAAGTCGATCACTCGCCGCAGTGGGTGACCATGATTACCGAAAACTGCACCTATTTGCGGCGTTACTTGTTCAGCTGTCTCTCCAGTTTCCCATCGGACGATGCAGACAGCAATATTCGTGATAAGTTAAGGAAAATCTTGGTTTAAAACTTATAGTGTCTTCTGTACCTTGAGCATTTAGTTTGATTGGCTGTTGGGGTGTTTTACTCCATTGGAATCATCATCGTACAGCGAAATACAATTAGACGAACTTCACTGATGTCTGCCAAACTCGTAATGCATGCAAGCTTAGTGTTAAAATTTAAGGTAGAAAGGTATTGGACCTATTTTTAAGGAGGGAGACGAAGGTGAAGCTCTGTGGTCAACAGAATACACGATCAAACTCTGCATATACACCGTTTCAAGCATTCTGACCTGATAAGAAACGACAACAAGAACGCCACTGCTGTCGGTTCGCTGCCACATCCTTCAGTGTCACCAACCCACCGGTTTTTGAGTCTTTCAAATTCCAACCTGGAAGGCGCGTGACACCTACTCTACCTAATGGCTCTGTGCATTTCTTCATACCTCGTCTCCACGTCATCTGTTGACCTCCATGTGGTTTTCTCCAGATCAGCTTAGCTAGAGCGAATAAAGCCCGGTGCGGCACACGACAACTGGGCATACGCAATATGTGTCCTAGCCTGCGGAGCCTACTAATCTGAATTCAATGTGCTAGGAGGTTTATACCTGACAGACTTCCAAGCACACGACGGCTTACCTGCAGACTACTAACCCGTTCGCTCAATCCCACGTGGGCTAAAATACGTAAACACCGATAATCGATGAATATCCTCTACTCGCAAATTCAAGGTCTCACAACCATAAAGCAGCACTGAACGAATGGTGGCACAATACATACGACATTTCAACTGCAGTGAAGCGTCGCGTATCCCCCAAAGGTGTTTCATTCCTGTGTATGATACTCGAACCTTGGAAATGCGGGCGGTTATCTCCACTGCTTTACCGTCATTAGTCACGCAACTACCTAAGTAGGAAAAGTAATCCACCGTAACTGTTTCCTAACCGTTAGCCTGACCGCTGCTGGTGACAAACTTATTTCATCATAGACCCTTGCGCGACCGGAGGTATGTGAGTA